AAATAATTAAAAAAAAACTTAATATAAAGAAATTAAAATTTTTAAATTTTTAATATTAATAAATTCTTTATTACCTCAATATATTTTGTCTTGATTTTCAAGAATTCCACAAAAAGTCTAACAAAAGCCTCCCAAAACTCTCCAATTCTGATTTAAAATGAGTATTTAGAGGACTTGAAAAAACTCTAATGGTGAAGGACGTGAAATCCACACTAAAGAAAATAGAATTTCACCCGTGCAAGAGCACAAAGCAAGCAAAGGATTGGCACCTAATATTAAGGAGTCGACACGTATAAATAATTTATGAAGACAACTTCGTGTCGGGATTTTGGCCTTCTAAACAATTTTGAATCTTCACTGGTAAAACTGTTCTGATCCCTCATACCTCATTGAGTGACACTCTGATCCTCACAGTTTTGATTTCTTTGAATTGGTTCTAAAAATTATAATTTCTTTCAATTAAATCCTTTTCTGCACAAGAAATGAAAATAATGTAAAATAAAGTAAAATCTCATAAAAATCATCCAATTGTCAATAACATCAAAGCAAAATTTTCACATTAATATCTATAAAATTTTAACATATCAATTAATAAAACAGATATTTTGATCAAAATCTCTTAGACAACTTGATTAAGAGTTTATTCCATTAGAAAGTTTCTCCCCGCGTAGGTGAAGTTAAATAGCTACCTTGGCAATTATTCTCAAGGCTGGCTGTTCAAGGCTTTCTTGGTCTTGATCAAACATTAAAACCCATGAGAAGGGGCCCTTGCATTAACAAGAAAACGGGTTACTCTAATTCAAAGTAACAAAAGTTCTTGATGAGTTAATATAATCATTCATGTTAAGTAGCACAAATTATTAAACTTTAAGACTTTCTTTATGAGCTACAATGATCATCAAAATGATGACTCACACAATACTATCAAAATTATAAACAACAATAAAAGTTCAGAATGTTCCTTCCAGAGAAAATGTGACATATTTTTGAAAAGGAGTGTACCACAACATAATTCACACTAGCATATGAAAAAATGTTGTGAGAAATAATTTCCACAGAGAAAAAAGAACAAGAGCCTATATGAAAAACTAACACTCACTTGCCTCACGCAATTTATAGAAACGAAGAAAAGCACATAATTTTTAACTAATGAGAGGTTATAAAAAGATTCATGATTTAAGCAACATATGCGAGTTGTTGGGTTAAAATGACCCAATCATCTTTAGTAAATGATACATGGGAAACTTTATACGGCCTTAACTAACAAATACTCAATTAATGATATAACAATGTAAGAAATGAAAGACTAAGCAATAGAAGTCTCTACTAAAAATGAATGCTTGCTCATTGACAAATATACCCTCACCCACATTGTAGTAACTCAATAAGTGCCAAACCAAAATGACTGTAATATAATTATGAAAATCAGTCATTGAGTATTGACAAACGCAAACCATGCAATTAGATCAGGGAAATGATTTTAGCTTCTCTAACAGACTAAATTTTCCACAACTTGATGTCTTTATCCAATGCCCTGCAAAATTTTCCAAGAATAAAATAACAAAAGTAGTAGATGTAGAAAATGCATTAAATCTTAATAAAAAAAAATAACATTTGCAATTTTAGAACCTAATTGAATATTTTTAAACTTAATTTTACAAAGGACTCATTGGACATGGATAATACAAGAGATGAATTTGTTATGTGACCAAAATTAAATAGAATGAACA